TGTGGTTGCCTACAGAGTTAAAAGAATCAGCTTTATGGACAGTAATGGGGGGGAAGGAGGTAATTTGGGCTGTGACGTCACATATTTGAATGTTTGTGTTTGGAATATGGGAAGCCTAAGATGTTTAATGAAAAATAAATGCCAGAACCGTGTTCTTGGTCATCCAATCTATAAAGTCGGGCACAATTTAACTGGTTTTAACAACATTTTAGAAGGTGGGATAGTCCCTTTAACCCGCGCCCGGCTGGGGGTCCTGGATTTCCACGCCCTGCTGGGGGGGGGGGGGGGGTGTCTGAACACCCCCCCCCCTTGTAACTCGGCTCCTGGGCCACGTAGCGATACGCAGAAGGCGGCGTTCGAAAGAGCGTCAAAAACAATGACGAAATCACTTCGCTCAATTTTTTGGTCAGGTCAAAGGTCAGGTCACAAGAGGTCATTGAAGGCAAAATTTCGCCGATTTTCAGGTCGAACGTCGACAATTTCCAAGATGCCAACGCATAACTCGGGAACCAATAGAGCTACAGCGCCGCGGAAAAGCGCATTCGATAGCCCTATTAACACCCTTTCTGAGCAATTCCCTCAGATTTGACCTAAAGTCAACGGTTTTGCCTGCAGGGGGCAAAAACTGCAAAAATAGCCGATTTTTTTCGGAAACAGTTTTTCTGCAATAACTTTTGACCCAAGCCTTGCACGAGCTTACTTTTACCGGCATCGTGTTCCTCTCGTCAAGACGCATCGAAGGAGCTATAACTTGACCTTGAAAGGTCAACTTGAAAATTTGACCTCAGGTCAAGGTCATGACCTGACCTGAAAGGGTCATGTTGCATATCAGTCGATCTGTATCGTCGAGCTGAACACATCTAATGCGTTTTCATCGCTCTAGCATGCCTCAATCAAAAGTTATTTGCGAAAAACTGTTAGATACCATTCGTGACCTAAGATGACCTCAGGGCATAAACAGGGGTCACGGATACCATTTTCATATTCAGTGTGTCTAAACCACTTGTAATTCAGTGTTTTGGAGTGTTTATAATGTCTTTCGTCCAAAAGAGGTGCATTTCAATTTTCTCCCATTGACTTATAATGGGGAGGTCGCAAAATTGACCTGACCTTAGGTCATCGATATCAAAATTCTGAGATATAAATTTTGTACGTGCTATTGCTCTTAGCAATCGCTGAAAGTTTCAAAGCGATCGGTCACTCGGTGTAGCTATGACAGACATTGAAACTTTTTATGAGATGAGGTCACTTCAAGTGACCTGGTGACCTGACCTTGAATGACCTTGGTCTGAAATTTTCACAACATATGTAGAATTGATGTATGATAAGGTGTACCAAAAACAGTGGCGCTCCGCGCCGCCGTTTTTGAGATATTCGCGAAAAACCACAAGGGGGTGTTCAAACACCCCCCCCCCCCAGCAGGGCGCGGGTTAAATAAACCAGCATCTGCTTAGTGCTTACCTTTGCCATCAGGATCTGCGCCAGGTTCTTGTCCCCTCCCTTCATGATAATGTTGGTGAATTTTCTGTAACGGAAAAAAACATAACAATCCGTCAGGCTGCTTCAGAATGTCGAAGAATGCTGCTTCAAAGTGGGTGATAGTAGTTCATATGGTCTAACAGACCTTGCCGCTCACTGGGTTTAACAATAGATGAGACGCGTAAAGGCGGATTATATTCAAAATTTTACAAATGACATCTTTTTTAAATTTCCTTCACGAAAAACACATACGTAGAACTTCGAAATCGAAACATACAACACAAGCCAATTGGAGTGTTTAATCACAATAGTCCTGCTGCCTCTCCACCCCTCCCCACCCTCTCTCCCTCCCACCCTCCTCTCTCTCTCTCTCTCTCTCTCTCTCTCTCTCTCTCTCTCTCTCTCTCTCTCTCTCTCTCTCTCTCTCTCTCTCTCTCTCTCTCTCTCTCTCTCTCCACCCTCCCCTCTCTTACTTGACGGCCGGATGATCAAATGCCGACGAGGTCAGGTCACTGGGCGCGGCTTTGATTGGTGAAAAGGTCAGCTGCTCACGGGCCTCCTCCGTCTGTTCCGGCGGCAGAGTTGGCTCCCGAAACGTAGGCGGGTATTGAGACATGGGGCGCCTGTTGAAGAATAGGACGTTAGAGATGCTGGTTTTCGTGAGGTTAGCAGAGTGTTAGAGATGAAAGGTTTCGTGATTTTAACGGGGATTTAAAGGTGCAAGTTTTAATAATAATGGGACATAGCATACAAGTGATGAATATTGGGGGGGGGGGGGTTAAAGTGCTGGCTTTGGTGAGGGTCATAGTGGGTGGGGGAGGCTTCATGGGTTATAATTTCCATAATGTCAACTGAGGCGGGGAGGGAGGGGATTCGACGCCAAACCTTCACTGAAGTCAGCAAGGGCGTCATTAAAATGTAGGTTTGAAATGAATGGACGATTGAAGTAAAAAGAGGGTGAGAGTGAGGGCTTCACTGAAGTCAACGAGAGTCGTTAGAGACTGGCTTTCATAGGTTTAACAGTGATCGTAAGAGGTGCAAAATTTAAGTGACGTCAACAGATGTCATCAGAGTCAGAATTGCCATCTCGGTTCGAGTCTTGGAGAGTCAAATCCGACAGGAGAAAATTCATGTGACTGGAGACAATAACATCCACATTTAGAACACCCAGCCACACAGCAATCAGTTGTGGACTACTAAAATGTTTTAACTAGTAAAATATGTGACTTATACTATAATTCATAGCTTATCACATACGCTGCAAAGCTCATAGGATTCTAGATACCGGTGAATACATTTGTGGAGGACAGCGAAATCTGTTGGACCAGACTGGGACTACAAAATGGTCCTATATCCAGCACAGGGCGTGGTCAGGTTTAGAGATGCAGGTTGACGTGAATGGTCTCAAGTTCACGAAACACGATTGCGGGGGACCACAGACACCAAATCAGGTACAAGAACGTATAAAAACTGGACGGTTATCATTCTTTCCGCACGTGCAGACGCAAAACATTCAATATGACACATACATATATGTATAACATAAATGTATAACTGACCCATGCGGCACAGCATGCTTCAGGCGCTGTACGCTAGAGCCATCTGTTGGCAAGTTTTGAAACTAGTCTGTCGTGCGGCACGCAAGTTTTGAAACTAGTCTGTCGTGCGGCACAGCATGTTTCAGGCGCTGTACGCTAGAGCCATCTGGTGGCAAAATTTGAAACTAGTCTGTCGTGCGGCACAGCATGCTTCAGGCGCTGTACGCTAGTGCCATCTGTTGGCAAAATCTAAAACTACTCTGTTGTGCGGCACAGCATGCTTCAGGCGCTGTAAGCTAGAGTCATCTGTTGGCAAGATTTGAAACTAGGTCTGTCGTGCGGCACCAAGATTCTTACAGATAAGGTTGGGACGCCAGTCACGTGATCCTTTTTCTGCTTTTCCCAACCCTACTCACGATTTTCATAAGCCTTGATTTATTCCTTGCACGGAGGCGTTTGTAGTTATTTTATATACAAAATCTAATTCAATGATATTTGAAATTAACAAACAGATTTTACTCGCAATCTCAAACAAAAATTGAATTTATTCGCGTTTCATTAATTTAATCAGCTGGCAACCATCACCCATCGTCCTCGATGTAGTCGAACTTGGCGCACTCGGCGCACTAGTCGAACTTGGCGCACAGATAGTGTTCGAAATTTGTGACGCTTACTTGTTGCTATGGCGACCGAGCAGTACGTACGATTTTCATTTGTCAACAAGTGCTTGCGGAGCTGTCGCTCACACTTTTGAACACAGTCTTTATGCGTCAGTTTGTTTTACGCGTCATATCTGAAACATGTTTCGTGAGGCTCCAAAACCATTCAATTCATCTCCTTCAAAAAAGTGTTTTGTAACATTTTCGATATGTTTTTTGGGCTTAATTGCTACCTCCATTCATCTTATCTTGCGTGAGGATAGTCATCACTCGGGGACCAGTTGTTGAAAGCAAGGAACAACGACGAGAAGGAGGTCTTGTAAAAGTCGCAGCAATTGCATTGAGCATTAACCCGCGCGGGGCTGGGGTCTCCAGCCGAACGCGCGGGGCTGGGGGGGGGGGGGGTAAATTTTACCCCCCCCCCCCTGTTATCTCCCGAACTAACGGTCCGATTTGGAAAATTCAAACGCCAATCGAAAGCTCTCATCACGAACTACTAAAAACATGTACTTAATTTAAAGTTTGAGGTCGAGGTCAAGGTCAGGTCAAGGGTACAAATTGCAAGTTTCTACAGTATCGGCCTTGCACCGTAGTTGCCGAAGAATGGAGTCATGGACTGAGACTGATCGCCCAAAACGTGTTCTTAGGCTACCAAGACAATATTCGTTGCATACAATATCATTCAGAGGCCAAGGTCAAGGTCAGGTCAGGTCAGGTCAGGTCACCAAAAAACAAAATATAGAAAAGGGCATGTGCGACACATGTTTTATGGGTCATTTTACTCATAGAATTCAATAGGCACACTCAATAAGTGATATGGACCACCTCTGGATGAATTTCAGGTCGAGGTCAGGTCAAGGTCAGGTCAAGTGAGGTCAAATTTTTAAGTTGGTTGTTAAGGCCTAAAAAGGTGTCTATCTGATGCAGTTTTTCACGGCGAATCGAATGGTGCTATTTTTGTTTCCGTACGAGGTCTAGAATTTCCAAAAAAGTCATTTTTCAAAAATTTTGTGTGTCGTGACGTCATAAAATTTTGAATAACTCCCACATTTTTGAACCGATTCTTCTAAAATTTGGTATGTAGGTGCACATAGACCACTTCTCTGACACATATTCCGGTTTTTTCGATACCCTCAAAATTTTGGATTTTATAATGATTTTCCCAAAAAAGTCAGTTTTTTGAAAAAATTTAGGCCAAAATCCAAAATTTTCAAAAACCGAGATAGCCATTTGATAGACAAAGTAAAATTACGTATAACCTTTTTTGTTACGTCTTGATTCCTTTAAAAATGAAGATGTTAGCGGCGTTTGAACTTTTGCCGTTTTTGAGGCGAAAATGACGAACATGACGTCACTAAAACGTCAATATCTCAAAAAGTTTCCGACGGATTTCGCTCAAATTTTCAGGGAACGTGTCAAATTGATGTAAGAAAAGGTACTGAAAGTTTGACGGCGCTGCGCGCCGCCGTTTTTGAGATATCGCAAAAATTCGCGAGGGGGGGGGGGTAAAATTTACCCCCCCCAGCCCCGCGCGGGTTAAATGACGAAAACAGTTTTACCCCCCCCCCCCCCCCACCGCCGCGTATTTGGAATTTCCGACCTCGACGAGCATCTGTGGTAGAAAACCACCACTTTGGTAGGGGAAACTACTGCTGTCTACTACTGTTTGCACTGCATGTCTCGCTGTAGTTGCGACCGATTGCGACATCTATGCAAGTCAGCAAGGGTACGTACCTTAGCGATATACGTACTTTATAAGTTACGTACTTTTTCGATGCGTATTTTCTTCTTTGACGTACTTTTGTCTAGGTATACGTACTTTGTACTGTACGTAGGTACGGCCCTCCAGCAAAAGAGTGGTTGGGTAGCCTATGTGCTTTTGGTGTAATAACTTTGAATGACAGAGACACTCCTGTAAAATGACTCAATAAAAATGAGAAGAGGGTTCGTGCACACACTTCGGCAATGGTTTTCAACAGCTATTAGACGTATTCATCAATGCAGATCGCTTATTGTGATGTTGGCAACCAACCACTAAATACCTGGAGGGCCGTACCTACTACCTACCTCTGCGATACGCCTACTTCTGTCCTTGACGTACTTATTCCATACGTACTTTATACTCGACGTACTTTTGCGATACGTACTCTTGTCCATACGTACTTTATGCTGTACGCACTTTTACGATATGTGCTTTTGTCCTTGACGTACTTTTGTCCATGCGTACTTAATAATCCACCTATAGGCTATACGTTTACTTCTTCGATACGTACTTTTGTCCTTGACGTACTTTTATCCATTCGTGCTTTATACTGTACGTACATTTGTCATGCGTACTTTTGTCCTTGACGTAGTTTTGTCCATGCGTACTTAATTCTGTACGAACATTTGCGATACGTACTTTTGCCCTACGTGCCAGGGGCGTCGCCACATATTTTCGACAGGGGGGGACGGATCGGCCGACTAAAAACCCAAAATTAGGTATCGTTACCGTACTTATTTAGGCCGATGCATTATCTGTTCAACGATACTGGGCTGAATTCTTACGCGGTACGCGTCTGAAGTATTGATTTTTACACGGATAACCAGAGCCTCCGGTCTTCTATCAGCAGAGGCGGATCCAGCTCAGAGTTTTTTTTTTTGGGGGGGGGGGCAAACCATAACAATTTATCGATTCTTTCCATGCATCGTCCATAGGCGTAATGTTAAAATTATGCCGTTTGGGGGGGGGGGCAAATGCCCATTTTGTCCTCCCCTGGATCCGCCACTGTCTATCAGGGTATAATTGTTGACACATGCCGTCAATCTGATAGTTAACTGTTAATGTATACATCATACGTGGTGGTTGCTTTAGGTATTTGTCACAAAGTTCTGAACTCATAATATCTTTTGGTCTCCAGTATGAATGGGCGGCGCGGGTCGGCGCGAAGCGCCGCGAGATTTTCGTCGAGGTCGGAAATGTATATGCATAGATGTCGCTACAATAGCTTGACATGCAGTGCAAATTGTAGCAGACAGCAGTAGTTTCCCCTACCAAAGTGGTGGTTTTCTACCACAGACGCTCGTCGAGGTCGGAAATTCCAAATACGCCCCACCGCCTCAGGCGATCACGTGCTGTCACCCACCTGGTGCGGCACAGCATGCTTCAGGCGCTGTACGCTAGAGCCATCTGTTGGCAAGATCTGAAACCACTAAGCCTTGCGGCACAGCATGCTTCAGGCGCTCCCCGCCAGAGGCATCTGTTGGCAAGATCTGAAACTATTGAGCCTTGCGGCACAGCATGTTTCAGGCGCTACATGCCAGAGCCATCTGTTGGCAAGATTTGAAACCATGAAACCCTGCGGCACAGCATGCTTCAGGCGCTGTACGCTAGAGCCATCTGTTGGCAAGATCTGAAACTACTGAGCCTTGCGGCACAGCATGCTTCAGGCGCTCCCCGCTAGAGCCACCTGTTGCCGAAATTCAAAACTATTCTATCCTGCTGTACAGTAGGTATGCTTCAGACACCGTATACTAGAGCCATCTGTCGGCTACACCTATTAGAGCCTTAGGCTGGCTACTACTTAGAAGCTATGGTAGGTAGCGTAGCAACTAGCAGGGCTAACGCCGACTTCAAATAGGAAATATTTGCTCATCATCATGGGCACCGGCGGATCCAGAACGGCGGTCTTCGACGCCGCGGGGGTATAGCCAAAGTGTCCAAAAATAAAAAAAACACCAAATTTCTATTCCTAACGCACTGCTGTGCCATTTAGAACAAACTTTTCCCCATAAAAAGTTGTTAAGTTACCGTTTTATTACCGAAAAACTGCAAACTTTCGTCGATTTCGGGCGGAACGGGGGGGGGGGGGGGGGGGTAATGGGTGCGTTTGCCCTAAGTGCTCCTCTGGATCTGCCAGTGATCATGAATTAACCAATTGCCCGGCGGGGCTCTCTCATTACGATAGACCTCCGACCTGTTCAAGCATTGTCTGTGCATTGTCTGACAGTGTATTATTCATGATCAAAATATATCCATAAAATCAGGACACAGAAAGACAGGAACTAGTGCCCCTAAATTGATAGCAGACGTGAGAGGGATGGAAGATCAGTTTCAATATGATTACAAGATCAATAACTAAAGAATGTGCATCAAAAGAATGAAAATAGCATTCAAATATGGCAGAGCATAGAAGCTCAGCTAAAAGACCAGGCAGGTAGGTATATCAACAAGATAAATTTACTAAAAACAATGCATAAATTAGTCATGCAGAGGCCAAGATACAGAGGCCTGAGATGAAGATCTGCATTGACCACTTTTTTGGTGCCATATGATATAATATAAGTAATTTGATGAGAATCAAATTTCCTAAACAAAAGTGTTTTCTAGTACCGAAGTTGGTTCATTAATATGAATTCAGACATAAGATTATCAATACGAAAATGTAGATTGGAGTTCCAGAGTGGCTGAACTTACACATGGCCGATGGTGGGCTGAAGACGACACAGGCACCGCAGGCTTCTCAGCATGGTGACGGGTGGCGGTTGGCTCCCACTGACGTCCACTCAACACTCAGCCTGAAACAACACATCAGGAAAATGTCTGGTGCAATCGTGTAGTGTCAAAGCCATGACATGTCAAATTTCAATTATACCTTACCTTACCTTGGAGGTCATCGGGAACGGGATAGAAAAGGCCACTTGGCCTATAGGTCCCGTTCTCACCGAGTTACTTGGGGAGACATTCAGGACTCGTAAGGTTGTGGCATGACATACATTAGGTGGGTCCAGTGATGGTCAAGTCGTGCCTTGAATGTCGAGAGTGTTTCGGCCGATACGACCTCAGCAGGTAGAGCGTTCCAGTCGTTGATGATGCGGACGCTGAAGCTGCGTCGTCGGGCGAGAGTCGCAGCTCGGGGTTTGATCAGCTTCCATCCGTGTCCTCTCGTCAGCTCGGTCTCGTTCTTGGTGAAGAAGGTCGTTGGCGGCACATCGATTCCACCGTGGAACAGCTGGTAGACCGTCAGCATGTCTCCCCTGCGGCGGCGGTAGAGCAACGACGGTAGTCTGAGACGCTTCAGACGCTCGGGGTAGGGAAGGTGCTTGATGGATTCCACCATACGCGTGGCGCGTCTCTGGACCTTTTCTAAGCGTTTCTGGTGAATGGTCCCCAGACGGCGTTCCCAAACTCCAGAAAGGGGCGGACGAGAGCCTTGTAGAGCAAGGGTAGGGTCGTCTCATCGATGTGAGCGAAGGATCGCTTGATGACCGCGAGCAGCTGCGAGGCTTTTGAAACGGCCGCGGCCGTTTGGGAGTGAAACTTCAGCTCAGAGTCGATTATGATCCCCAGATCCCTTTCTTCGTCTACCACGGCGATGGGCGTCCCGTTTAGCCGGTATTCGTGTGCAGGGTTTCTTGAGCCCATGTGCATCACCTTACACTTTCCTGCGTTGAACGGCAGCAGCCACCTTGAGGACCATCGTGCCAGAGCGTCCAGATCACCCTGCAGACCAGCACCACGTTCGGATGGATTTGTCAGTGGCTTATATAGCTTCGTGTCATCCGCGAACATCTTCATATTGCTTGAGACTTCTAGTGGCATGTCGTTGACGTATATTGTGAACAGCGTCGGTCCCAACACTGAACCTTGGGGGATACCGCTGGAGACTGGTGCCCACTCCGAGGTGCAGCCCTGAATCAGCACCCGTTGACGACGGCCAACTAGGAAGGTCTGTATCCAGGTGAGAAGTTTACCTTCGACACCATACGACCTCAGCTTCTCGAGGAGACGTTTGTGCGGCACCGAGTCAAAAGCTTTGGCGAAATCTAGGTAGACCACATCCACCGGGGTTCGGTCTTCCAAGGCAGCGGTCCAGTCTTCGAGTGCCTCAAGCAGTTGGGAGCTACACGAACGCTTCGCCAGGAAACCATGCTGAGATCTGTGAAGCAGGCCGTTTGCTGACATATGGTGCAGGAGCTCATCCCTGATGACAGATTCGAGGACCTTACAACAGACGGATGTCAGGCTGACCGGTCTGTAGCTGGATGGCAGGCGGCGATCTCCTTTCTTGAATATCGGAGTCACGTTGCCGATCTTCCACTCTGGGGGGACATCCCCGGAGTCCAGCGATTTCCTGAAGATCCAGCTCAGTGGGTGGGAGAGGACGGCTGCATTCTCCTTTAGTACGCGAGGGTGAAGGCCATCGGGTCCTGGTGAGCTGTGTGCTCGCAGCGCTGCCAGCTTGGTGTGTACCCGTAGCGGGGAGATTTCGACGTCCTCCAGAAGCGGTCCGTGATGAGGGCGCTCCAGGACAGGGATGGTGTCTGACGCTTCTTTGACGAAGACGCTACTGAAGTATCTGTTCATGGCGTTAGCTTTTGCCTTGTCAGAAGACACCGTTTCTCCATTCTCGTCTTCTAGGTCGCCGATGCCGTTTTTGGTCTTGAGGCGTGAATTTGCGTACCGCCAGAAGCACTTCGGGTTATCTTTGATTGACAGTACCAGCTTTTGCTCATGTTGTCTCCGGAGGGCTCTGGTCATGTTCCTCAGGTCGTTACGACACCTGACGTACCTGGCGTGATCGAGTTCATCGTGGCTTCGGCAGTAAGTGCTCCACAATAGCCTTTTCCTTTTCCTCAATTGGAGGGCATGGCGATTCATATATATGTTGTGTTCAGAGGCCTTCTTTCTGATGCTGGAGCATGACTCAATGGCTGCACAGATTGACGAACTAAAGAAGGTGTGAGCTTCATGAGTAGTCATGTTCCTCATCACCGCCCAGTTGCACGATTCAAGCGCATTACTCAGTGAACGATAGTTGGTGCGAGAATACATGCGTGGCAGCGAGGATGGCGCAGGTGCGTAGCACATCAATGTGAAGGTAAGGATTACATGATCACTTCTACCCAGGGCAGGGCCATACTCAAGGTTGCGAACCATACCCTCCTCATTGGTAAAGACTAAGTCCAGAGTACTTGGCCTCTCTCCAAGCCTGTAACGTGTGGGCTGGGTAACGTGTTGGAACAGGTAACAATCCTGGATCGTCTCTACAAAGGAGTGCGTGGCTGAAGTAGATGCACCAGTGTCCCAGTCAATGCCAGGAAGATTGAAGTCGCCAACGATGACAAGGTGTGAGAAGGGGGCTACAGCTGCTTGGTGAATCAGCTCACGGGCGTAGGAGCGTCATGAAAAGTGGGTGGGCCACCCTGTCAAGGGGCCTCCTTTTCCAGGGGGCCTCCAACTTTTGCCTCGTCCTGCTGGCTGCTTTCAAGTATGACCTCCAAATCTAGCTTCTGAGATCGGGCAGATGTACCCAGGGGCGTAACCGCTTAAGCGAACAGTGCAGAAAGTCCGCACCATTTTTAAAACTTATTCCCCCTCCCATTTTTTTTTAGAATGTATTTGCCGCAAACGGCGCATGACCCCTGAAAACCCTTACACAAATGTCTTCCTCGTTTCCCAGGTGCCCCCATTAGCTTCATAAGCGCCCTCTTTGGCATATAAGCGCCCTATGTATAGTCATCAGAGACATCCCTATATGTCCCACAGTCGCCCTATTGTCGCATACAGTGTGCGCTTATCATAGGCGTCTCTCTTTTATGGACACTTGAAGGCACCTCTCTTTGCCATGCCGGCGCCCCTGTTTCTTATGAATGCACCCCCATGGCATTGGTCAATTGCAATTTGCAGACCTCTATTGCATGTGGACGCCCATATATGTAGGCCTCAGAGGCGCCCCTCTTTCGCAGTGAGGCGCCCCTATGGGCTTCATAGGCGCCCCTCTATTGCACGTAGGTGCCCTACTGTCTCAGAACCGCTCCCCTTTGGCATGGAGACGCCCATCTTTCGTACGGAGGAGCCGCTGTGGTTCTTAGAGACGGTGGTTCTTAGATGGTGCTCCCAGACGCAGATGGGGCTCTCGGAGTCGACAGTGTGGGACCTTCAGTCGCTGATGGGTGCCCGCCAGATGTGGACCCTCGGAGACGCCGGTATGGGGCCCTCAGAGATGCCGGTATGGGCCCTCAGAGATGCCGGTATGTGGCCCTTAGAGACACCGGTGTGGAACCCTCAGATACTTCAGTGTGAAGCCCTTACAATTGCTGGTGTGGAGCTATGAATGCGCTGGCTTAAATCCCTCAGAGGCCGGTACATGGACATAAGAGCTCAGTGAGAGCTTGTGTGGTGCCTTCAGTGGCCTTGTGGAGCCGTTAGACATCAACATGGTGCTCTCAAGAGCCGGTGAGTCCTCAGAGTCACCGGTGTGGGGCCTTCCGAGCTCCAAGATACTGGTCTGGGGCCCTCAGATGTGTCGGTGTGGGTCCTTCAGATGTACCTATAGAGCCTTGAGATGCACAGGTGTGGTGGCCCACAGAGGCGCCGGTGTGGGGCCCCCAGAGCCACCGATATAGGGCCCTAAGAGACACTAGTATGACCCTCAAAGGCGCCGCTGTGTGGCGCTCATAAACACTGGTGTGGAGCCATCACAGGCGGGTGGAGCCGTTAGAGGCCGGAAAGGGCCCTTAGATGCCTATAAGGAGCCTTCAGAAGCCGGCGTGGCACGTGGGGATAAGCGTGTCTACTTAGGAGCTTTTGAGGTGCTCTCATGAGCTCTGTGGGGCCCTACCGAGCCGAAATATGGCCACGGCCAGTTGCCGCCGCATGGCTCTTCGGACTATCATTCTCAGGGGCCTCATCTGCCTAGTTTGAGTAGAAGGGCCTCTCAGACCATCAGTCTCATGGGCCTCCTCTGGCTAGTTTAAATAGAAGGGCCTGTTAGACCATCAATCCTAGGGGCCTCCTCTGGTTAGTATAAATAGAAGAGCCTCTCAGACCATTAATCTCAGGGGGCTCCTGTGGACAGTATAAATAAAAGGGCCTCTCAGACCATCAGTCTCGGGGGGCCTCCCTAGAAAAGTGTAAATGTGGATAGAGGGCCCCCTCAGATTCATTAGGAGTGGACCTCTCTGACTATCAGTCTCAGGGGCCTCGTGTGGCCAGTATGAATATAAGAGCCTCTCAGACCATCGGTCTCAGGGGCCTCTTCTGACTAGTCTGGATAGAGGGCCCTCCCAGACCACCGGTTTCAGGGGCCTCCAGTGGCCAGTTATATGAACAGAAGGGCCTCACAGCCATCAGCCTCGGGGGCCTCTTCTGACTGGTGTGAATATGAGGGCCTCTCATACCATCAGTCTCAGGGGCCTCCTCTGCCTGGTGTGAATATAAGGGCTTCCCAGGCCATCAGTCTCAGGGGACTCTTCTGACTGGTGCCGGATTGAGGGACCTCCCAGACCGAAAGTTTTGGGGGTCTCCTGTGGCCAGTATAAATAGAAGGGCCTCTCAGTCCATCAGTATCATGGGCCTCTTCTGCCTGGTGTGATTATAAGGGCCTCTCAGGTCATCAGTCTCAGGGGCCTCCTCTGACTACTGTGTAGATGGATAGGCCTCCCAGACCATCAGTCTCAGGGGCCTCTTATGACTATTAAGGATAGAGGGGCCTCCTCTGACTAGTGAGGGTAGGGGGCCTCGGCTAGACCGCCAGTGTCAGGGGCCTAAATTTATTCTGACTAGTGTGGATGGAGGGGTCTCCCAGACCACCAGTCTCAGACCTCTGACTAGTGTGGATAGAGGGGCCTCCCAGACCGCCAGTGTCAGGGGCCTCCCCAGACCAATGTGGATATTGGGGCCTCCTCAGATCCACTAGGGCCTTTCAGGCCATCAGTCTCAGGGGCTTCGACTGACAAGTATGAACAGAGGGCCTCCTTGGATCCATCACGGCCCCTTGGAGTCCGTGCGTGGGGATTCGTGGAACTTATTTTTACCGAGTTTGTTTATTCTGGAAGGTGACGACGTCCTCTCAAATCGAGAAGAGGAGCCTCGAGTAAAAAGTGGGTGGGCCAAAACACATGGTTGGCCCCCCACCTCGAAAAGTGGGTGGGCACTTGCCCACCTGGCCCCCCCTGTTCCTACGCCTATGAATCAGCTGCTCCAGCTTTTCAATGCTTTCTTCTTGGGATCCAGACGGGCTTCGGTAGATGCAGCCTATCAACAAGTGATCTGTTCCTTGTAGCTTCAATCCAACCCAAACATCTTCAATCATTGATTTGTCAAAGACTACCTCAGAGACACTCAGATGCTGTGCTACATACACACAGATACCTCGTAATCCAGAGTTGCCCAGGTCCATCATACCTGGATTGAAGTTGGTGAATAACAGGTATCCTGGAATGTGCAGCAGTGATGGGGCAATAGGCAGTCTCTGAGCTTTTGGAAGGGTCTCAGTGAGCAGCATCACATCTGGCTCCTCTCCACAAATCCTCATGCTTAGCTCGTCCCTCTTATTTATGAACTGGTCTGTGTTTGTATAGAGCACACAAAGATTTCTGACGGTCTTTTTCCTCTGGCTCCAGGCTCCATTTACTTTATCTAGTCAGTCTTGCCGAACTGGCTCTCTGGCAGTGCCATTCTGGTTTTCAGGCTGATGAGTGTCCACCACAGCAGAGCTGTCCTCCTGTTGGTGGGTGGTACTTGTTCCAGAGCCGGCTGACCCCCTGGCAGGAGGAGTGGGCTGCACAGCTGCAGAGTGTCTGACAGGTCTCGCCAGCTCTGTCTATCCATCCCATGAGCAGGGTTTGGATCGGGTACCTGTGCTCTATCAGTGCCTGCTGAAGATGCAGCATGTCGGGGCAGCTGAATCACTTTGCCACCCCTGATGACAAGGTTGTGCTCCCCCGCCTGCCTGCGGGTTGCAAGTTCCTCTCTCAGTTTTTTATTTGCTTCTCTCTCCATCTGCGTCATGTCTGGGGAGAGGTATATGTTACTGTAATTCTCTGTGTTCCTGAGCCATGGTGCACAACGCAGGATGTCACCACGGACGGATGGGTTTCCGAGTGTGACTATGAGTAGTCTTGGTTTGTTGGGAAGTTTTTTGTTGGGAAGTTTTTTGCAAATTATGTATGTGATTTTAACAAATTTTAGGGTTTCAGGAATCTTTTACCTAGGAACCTATGAAATCCTCAACAAAGTTAAGGCATAAAACAATTCAAAGCGAGCAAAAAACTTAGGGACAGAAGACATTAGACAGGTCATTTTGCTTACCTACCAATAGTTGGTTATATGACTTATATCAATATTGCTTAAGCTACCAAATGAATGTACAATTGCTATAAATGCATGAAAACTGACCATTCAAAAATTTTGAGATGAAATAGTAGGAGGGGTAGGTAAAGAAAAAACTGTTCAATCGCATATGTATCGAGACCACAAACCCAAAGCGATAACCAATTGCTCTTCACAAAACTGAAAACAGACGCAAGGAAACTTCTGTTGCTAGTCAACCGCACTTAGATATAAATAATCGAACATAATTCTGTACCTCTTTTGAAACAAGCTCGCCATAATTGAAACTCTTTGAACTTCAGTTCAATAATATACGCTTGTCCTGCTTGCAATTCGCAAATTACAAATCACTTCATTAGTTATCAACTAGTCGCCATGGAAACTAAAAGTGGTACTCCTATTCTAGTGAAACTGAACAGATGGTTTCTGCAAAACTTCCACGTATGTGTTTCCTGTCAAGCCGTACACCAAGCCGATACGGCCTTGCCAAGCCGTACACGAGATGTTTGGAACGGTGTTGGTGTAGATAGATAGATAGATAGATAGATTTGTATTTCAGACTAACAGTCCATTGCTATGAGTTGATAACATAACATAACATAACATATATTACAATGTAACAACAGGCTACAGGAGCCCAACAAGGTTACAAGGATGAAATACACAGTGATGTACACATTCATGCACACTGAACAAGATTTACATGACAATGAATGCAATGAGTGTATCCTAACAACGAAACCTATCAGAGTTGTCTACGTCTTCAATGGTGTCAAAGACCGCACCACGCTCCGTAAAATACAAATCCACGTTATGTTTGAATTTGTTAAGGGAGGAACTATCAATAACCCAAGGAGGTAAGCTATTCCACATATCAATGACGCGGTTAGTAAAAAAGGATTGCCTTAACCGCGTTTTTGAAAATTTCTTTACCAATTTACATCCGTGTCTTCTTGTAGAGTTCGAACTTATCGTGAATAAACTCTTAAAATCTAGCTTATCAATACCTCTATAAATTTTGAACAATTCAATCAAATCACCTCTCACTCTCCGGTAATGGAGTGAAAACATATTTAACGAGACAAGCCTTTCTCTGTAAGTCATCCCGCGAAAACCATGCACCATCCTAGTGGCCTTCCTCTGTACACGCCAGTGTCAGAAAAGTGGTTTGGGGATCTAAGTTCGCGGAACAAAATGTTTAGCTGCTCACGGAACAAAAATCATAAAGTAAGGCACTGTAGGGCCACGCGTATTGTTCTAGGTATGCTTTAAGTATACAAGATATTTGCCAGAGTCTCAGTCAGAAACAGCAGCTTCTAGATATAAAATAAGGGTTCAAGGAACGCAGCAGGTTGTGGCCTTACAGCCCAAGTGTTAGACTTATTTATAATTAGTTAGCAAATATGGACATGCAGGTAATGGATGACCACTGATGCTCAAAATTATTCATAATTGAAAATATACAAATAATTCTTAAAATTGTGAATGCAGTGAGAAAAATGAATGGGGTATAAAAATATACACAACATCCAGAATATGCTTTTCAAATGACACATTTTCACATGAAACAAAAACTGCTAAGTATATTGAAATACTATTTGAAATACCTTTAAGCAAAATCAAAACATAGCCAAGTGGAGTGGTACCTACCTACCTAGATAGTATCAGTATAAATGGCCTTGTACCTACCTATACCTATATTGACATAATGCAAGTTTGACAAATTTGACGCAATCCAGCTTGAAGCAAATAACCAACAAATAACGAACCACAAAGACACAAAAACATGCCAGCACTTAAAGAAAAAAGGTCTTGTGCAAGACAACCCCCAAAAACCATGCTACAAATGATTATAATCAATAATAGATAATTGCCCACGGCCCACGCGCTTGCCCAAACTGAAACGGACGCCTCGCACCTCGAGCCTTGAGAAATGGCGCGGAGGATGACTCGGCGAGGGAAATTAGAGGAAAGGGATTTCCTCTTTACTGGTTTTCAACTCACCTGTTCAACTCACCTGTTGGGGGTTCCCTGCCTTCCAGAGTACAGCATAGAGGATGTGCATAGGATACGTGAGGAAGGAACCCGCGAACGTAGGGCTCGCCCGGCGGAGACACCACAAGGGGGTGCTGCCAAGCCGGGAACAAGAGCCTGCATAGTGACAAACACGAATTTTGCTATAGTTTCATGATACATACAATAAAAGATCGTATACAATAATGCAAACACAAATTAGGGGAAACAGGTCAACGCAATAGCCATCACATATGATAAGAGAACAAGGCATCACCCATCGAGTCAGCCAACATGGCCTTGAACCTGCTCAGGTCGGATTCACCTACGACCTGGTCAGGGAGTGCGTTCCAAGCGGTGATACAACGCTTGCTGAAGGACCTGGTCCTGACATCAGTTTGTGCTCGAGTGTGGCGGATTTTGAACATGTGGCCTCTGGTACTAGACGAGGGATCAAGTTCGAACATGGTAGTGGCATCTATACAACACTTTGCGTGGAAAATCTTCCAATATTGAATCAGATCGGCACGTAGAAGTCTGCCCTGGACCGAGTACTGGTTCAGAGCCCTAAGCCGGGATTTATAATCAAGCTCTCCCATGCCTAAGATCTTTTTAGTCCAACGGCGTTGAACAGATTCGAGGAGGCGCACGTCCCCTATATACGCAGTGTGCCATACACATGAGCAGTATTCCATGATGGGTCTTACATGAGTGTTGAATAAAGTGAGCATGAAATCAGGGGATCTGCAGACAGTTGACCTTAACAAGTTTTGGGTAAGGCCAGCAGCCTTTTGCACTGTCAAAGCCACATGCTGGTGAAACTTTAGGTCAGAATCAATAAGAACCCCGAGATCAGTGTGGGATTTCACGACCTGAATCGATGTTTGGTCTAAGTGATAGGACGGGGGAGGTAGGACATGGGACCTTCTTTGAAAGCGGATGACCACACATTTTTTCAGATTTAAGTAGAGACACCAGGACTCTGCCGTGCGTTGTAGCATCGTTATGTCCTTCTGACAAGCCTGTGAATCACGACAGTAGTTAGCTGGACTGTCGTGGCGTATTGTCATGTAGATCTTCAGGTCATCTGCAAATATTTTATACTGACAGAGGAGGTTACTTGCGACATGGTTGACGAAAATAAGAAAAAGAATTGGTCCGAGGACAGAACCCTGGGGTACGCCACTCGAGACGTTGCGCTGGCTGCTTGTCTTTCCCTTTACCTGGACTGACATGCGGCGACCAACAAGAAAGTCCTCGATCCAGCGGATGAGGGGGGTATTGATCCCTAGCAAATGTAACTTGGTGAGCAGAATAGGGTGAGATACTACGTCGAAGGCCTTGGAGAAGTCAAACATGATGACGTCAACGGTGTCGCCCCTGTCAAGGTGTCTGGAAACGTCATCGTAAACCAGCAGTAGTTGGTCCATGGTTGAGCGACCTGCACGAAACCCGAATTGGTGGTCAGACAAGATATTGTTGCTCTCGAGGTAGTCTGTCAGGTGGCGGGCGATTATTCGCTCTAGACACTTGCATGTTACTGAGGTCAGGCTAATAGGGCGATAATTAAGGGCTTGGTACCTTGAGCCTTTTTTGAAAATTGGCACAACTACCGACGATTTCCACTGGACAGGCAAGCGGCCTTCCCTCAGCGACTGGCGGAAGAGGAGTAATAATGGGTAAGTTAAAGCTGAGGCACACCTTTTTAGTAGGCAGGGGTGGATATCGTCCGCTCCCGCCGCAGAGAAAGCATCCAGGCACTGCAGGGAGGAGAGCACGTCCTGGGCACTGACGTAGAGTGGAGGCATCTGGCTGGATACAGACTGGTGATCAGTTGGGCCGCGACGAAGGGAAGGGCTGTGCAGGGCGGGTGTGAAAACACTGGCAAATGCAGTGACGAAAGCTTCAGCCATCAACTCTGGGTCGTCTGAGAGACTCCCGTCAGGTAACTGTAGCGGGCCGACTCCGGGACAACCAACTTTCTTCCTGCGAAGGTAAGCATGAAAACGTTTGGGCTGTGTCTTAAGATCATTAAGTAGTTCAAGCTCGTAGTTGACTTGAGACTCAGTAGCAAATGATCTTAGCTGCTTGTTTGCCTTGAAAAAGTCTCTCAAGGCTACCTCTGCTGCGACAGAGCTTTTGCCAAGGCGGTGGCGGACAGACTTATACTTTGCCCAAGCTTCCTTTTTACTGTTCCTTAACCTGTGAGGAGGGTTAGTTTTCCATGGCAGCCTGTTTGAGATCTGTTGTGGGGCAAGGGGAACACATTCCTCAACAAGGGGCATCAGGACATTCACGAAACGGGTATACGCGCCACCGATGTCAAGCGCTGTAAACTCAGCATCCCAGTCAACCTCGTATAAGGCACGCGATAGGATGTTGTATTTGCCTTTCTGCCACTTCCGGTACTTAGCAGGGGCGATCTGCGAAGGAGACGTCTCAAGGTCAAACACATAAGTGCATAGTATCGGGCAGTGGTCGCACCCGGGTAAGGGAGGGAGTACCTGAACAGATCCAACTCTGTCTGCATCTGTGGACAGGACAAGATCCAGTATATTGCCCGAACGTGGGAAAGTGGGCTCGATAACCCACTGGGTAAGCCCCAGAGACATGAATACTTCGTAGCCTTGCCTGTCAAAAGAGGAAGCGTGAGATATCGGACAAGAACTCTCCCAGGACAGCGTAGGTAAGTTGAAGTCCCCCAGAAGAAGGACTTCCCTGTCACCACAGAAGGCCAGCAGAAAGTCATATATGTGTGCTGTGTCCTCCAAGGAGGAGGATGGTGGCCGATATACCACTGCAACATGCAGGTTAAAATCAGGAAGGCGGACCGCTAGCACATTCTGATATGGCTTATTTACTTCATCAAACTTCACTGAGCTGTGGATGTAGAGGCACACGCCATGTTTGGGGAATCTTCCTGGTGTATCGTTCCGGACAATGTGGTAACCTGGAATGGTAATAAAACTGTCAGGCATAGAATGCAGCAGATGAGACTCTGTAATAGCAAGAAGGTGAAGTCCATGATCGACAAGGAATTCCTGAACGAATGGCACCTTCCTGGTAAGGGAGTTAACATTAGCCTGGCCAATCTTCAAAATAAAAGTAGATCCACTGGAGCCCTGGCAGGGAGCCGAGGCTACTCGTTTGCCACAGGGCGGGGCTGGTTGTTGCCAGGTGCTGAGACAACAGAGCCATCTGTCCTCTCAGATACCTGCGGAGAGGGGGTAGCCGTAGGTGGGACCGCTCCAGGGCTCGGTTCCTGTTGGTTGCCAGCAGCAGGCATGGAGGGGGCATCAGATGCAGGCTGAGAAGACCCAGCACCATTAGCTCCAGCTGCCACGCCCGCTGCAGACCGCCTCGCTCGCAGCTCAGCTCTCTGGTTGAAGGTCAGGTCACGTCGGATGAACACAGTCCCAAAGAGGTTGGAATGTTTCAGCTGCCTACAGTTATTCAGGATCATCTTTCGAACCTCGTCATCCTGGACCTTTCCACGATAGAGGTCGCTTTCTGAGGGAATTTTGACAACGTCAGTAAGTGTGACACGCTGGTTAACCAGATGTTCTGAGACAGCCTCAAACTTGGTGACAGCCTCGGATGCTGAGGCAGCACCCAGGCCCCTAATAATAAGAGAAGTGCGGCGCTTTTGCTGCTCCTGTAATTCACGAAGCTCTTCTCGCACCACTTTTCTGTATTCCTGAGAGGGTTGCAGGTCAGCGGCAGCTGCTGATGCATAAGTCCTGGGAATGGCAGGGGCTGATGGAGCAGGAGGGTGTGGCGGGGCAGGGTCAGGAGCTGGATGGGACGGTCTAGGCTGAGAGCGCATGTCTTTGATTTCCTTTTTTAACTCTTGAACCTGACTGCAAATCCCCTTAATCTGCTGTGATAGATGGCTAATGAGCTCCACCAGATGTGTCTCTGTGCTGCTACTAGGTGAGCCACCTCTCTTTGTGGAGTAGTCAAGACGACACTTTGTGCAAACAAACTTAATGCCATTTCCATTATATCTGCCTATTGCGTCTATCATGTCTTGTGAGAGGCCGCTGCACATCACAGTGTTGTGAACCCATACCTCACATTCATCACAGCCAATTGCATCATCTCCAACATCCTTACAGCAGGCACCACAAAGCTGCACATCGGAAGCATGGCGGACATCAGCACTAGCTACACTGGCACTACGACCCTTCCTGGACACAGCACCAGGTCCTGCACCACGTCCACGTGGCATGCTCAATGCTGCTTGCTTTTTCCTTTCTTTTTCTTTTATATTTTTCTTTTATTTTTTGTTTTTTTTGTTTGTTTTTTTGGTTTGTAGTTTTTTTTCTTTTTTATGCAAGCAAGCAGTTAGGGTTGACGTATACAAACATGCAAGACATTAATCACAGACAAACAAAGGGTAACACATTTACATGCGGGAGGACAGAGACAAGACAGGGGCAGGAGAAGGACAATCAAGCAAGTTCAGCCAAGCAGTCAGGCAAAGAGGGAGATTGGGCCAGAGAGAAGCTGACTCACTTAGTTCGGCAGGTACTAGCCTAGCAGGTGTTCAGATGCACAAGCAATCAATTTGATAAAAATGATTCAAATTGATGAGAACTTCAAAATAGGATATCATATTTAAAAAGAATCTAAAAAAATGAATATTTGACCTCAATCTGGCTGCTTTATTTCAAATAATATACTAATAAGCAAAGGGATTTTATGCCCTAGACAAACATGTCTGTTTATGTATGTTTATTTTTTGTAATATCAGTGTTTCCTGCATAAAAATCGTTTCCTGCCCAATAGTGGACGAGAAAGCAGGAAATCGGTAGTTACTGATTTGATGAAAGAATACGCAAAAGGAATGGCAGTGTATCCATAAACGTGGTGTGGATTGTGCATTGTGCAAAGACG